ATAAACCCAGTAATTCACTATTCCTATCCCCATTTTTATTTTTTAGTGTGTAGATGTCGTAGTTATTTAGATCTTCCGCTTCTAGTCTTAAATTTTTAATTGTAACTTCGTGTAAATTAGTATTAATAAATGTAATTAAAACTTTCGATCCAGACACTATGGTTTTTTGGGTATAAACACCTTCAGCTACTCGTTGTCCTGGGATGAAAGCATTTTGAAACGAAGAATTTAAGGTAACTTCTCGAGTGACTTCTGACCAAGCAGGAAAAACTAGACAATCCTTTTCTGGTCCTCCCTGCATTGGTAGACGTAATGATTTGTTTGGGTACTCCAATTTAACGGACAACGACCATTCGTCGTAATCAATTATGCATTTATAACGTGTTAAAAAATCTCTGCCCAAAATTCCATCGGCTGGGATTGGAAAGTCATCCGAAACGATTTGAAATTCATGTTCTACCTCGTGTTCTACTCGGTTATCAACATCTAGAAAGATATTTGTTGTGATTGCGAATGTAGATTGAATCCTTGAAGCCGTAACTCCGTGAATTGTGCATTTTTTGGGATATTTAGGATAATTTTGTGAAATTTTACTAATTTTTATAACCGAAATGTCTGCGCCTGTGTCCACTAAGAAACTTGATGTAACGCCAACTGCATTAATTTTTAGAAAAACAAAATTTGAATAGGATAATTGAAATTTGGAGAAGTTTATTGATTGTCCCCCCCCTGTTGCAGGTGGGGGTGTTGGGAGTTTTCCGATTGATATGTTCTGATGTTTTCAGCCCGATTTCCAAAATTTCTACCTCGGCCCCTATTGTTATGATATGTGTTGTGAGGTCTGAAATCAACTCGACCTTGGCTTTGGTTCATATTTCTACGTATATAGCGTCCCCTGCGATTATAAGCACCACGATTGTTATGCTGACTGTATCCTCGGTGCCCATTATAAGTTCCCCTGAAATTTCCTCTGAAAGAGTTTGCGTAAAAAATATTTGACGCCTGGGGTGCATCTGTTTCAACCGTTATGAATTTTGTTATTGCGTCTTGGAGGCTGTCAAAGTTACCTGCTTCCATTACTACGCGTGTCCTATCTGACTTTGCATTACCTATTAACGTTTTAAGCGCTCTGTTTTTAACAAAATTTTCGGCAGTATCTGCACGTACTCCTTCGGAAATATACATGGAAAGCAAATTTGCCGCAAGATCGTTAACCTGATTTGTGAATGCCGTAGCGTCTTTCCCGTTTTGTTTTATATTTGCAAGTTTTGCTTCAACTACATGAGATTTCTCGCATTGGCAACGTTTTTTCAAAACTGTAATTACTCCGTCTAAATCTGCAACATCAGCTGTTACCGCCAACCTTGCTTTTCCCGTTAATCTAGTTTTTACAAATTTCAATGCATTTTCATTGTGACCTTCCGAATTTGCTTTTAAAAGTTCTAACGCATCTACGAATGAAACTAATTCCGGCGCGTCACCCTTAAAGGATTTTGGTAGCAATTTGTCAGCGAGAGTAATGAATTCGGTTAGTGACAGAGGCATTGTGTCTTCCAGTGTTACGTTATTCAGTGGTAGTTCGTCAGTTTCGTTATTTTCGTCAAGGTCAATGTCGATAATTTGTGTCACTGATTTGTTTATCCTCTCAGTAGGAACCAGTGGCACTAAATAATTAAAGTCTAACTTAGCAAATGCTTGTATTGTTCGATCCCTAAGTTGATCAAACGCTTTTTGGATCCATGCTTTATGTTCCGGGGTGAATCTAAGCCAATAAGAATTTACAAGCTGTACAAACTCATTAAACAATTTTATTAAATTTTCTGCAATTTCTGTCCTAACAATTTGTTGCTTTGGAACCTGAGTTTTAATGGCTCTTTTGGCCTGATTGTTATGCTCAGTTTTAATTTGTAACAACTTGTTTTGTATATCTTCCCATAACTCCGACATGTACAACTATTATCTTAACAAAATTACATACCCATAGAGCTATACCTACTCATAAACCTTAAAATAATTACTTAATAGGCCAACAATATTAATAAGTGGGGGAGAGAAAAAAATGTATTACTATACCTTTTATTTCAGATAGCACGTCTTTTGGTCCTTTCGAACAGCTAATGGTTACACTTGTGCGTTCGCTGCCACTCTTCGTATCGCCCTGTTTTTCACGTGTCGCGTATACATCTTCACCACTTTGAACCCGAACTCCAAAACCAGAATCGCAAATATGATGTAAAACATGATCTTCATATCGCTGGACATTCTTATTTCTGATTCTTGCACAATGAAGTTTGAGTTTACCACCCCGTTTTCGTTGAGATCTTGGGTTGTCGTCGCTTCCTTACTGCTAGATTTTCCCATTTTTAACTTGTCAGTACACTAACTGTTGATTCATTGTCACGGTCGCCATGTAATGTCCTCGTTGTGAGGGAGTTGGATTTATTAAGAATTACTAATTATTTATTGCTATTACTTCTTATAACTAGGTGTTTACATTGTCGCTGTTAGACCAATAATTACCGACTGCACCTTCTACAATCTGTGCAACCCACTACCATTATTGGGGTCAGTACTGCTTGCACAATGTGCTTATTTATGCACTACACTTTCTTATGCTTCCAAATAAGTGATAACTCTCGACAAAGAATTTTTGATGCATTTTGGTGTTTGGGTGGCTGGGAAGCAAAACGTGCTCATGTCTTGGGTTTAGTAGACGTGCATAAACCTCACAAAAGGCGTGCATTACAACACGAATCAAGAAAGCATTTCTATTTCCATAATGAAGAAGGACTGAAAGTACGCCTATGTAGGAGTTTTTCTTAAATACGCTTTGCTTAGGAAGAGACTCATTTAGTCGATGGGTAAGTTGCGATTTGATGATTGAACGAAGTCAAATTCCCGATGAAGCCAATAAGAAGGAAACTGTACAAGTAAAAAATAATAAACTGATGAGGGCGAATATATTGGAATGTTTGTCTTGTATTCCGAAAGTACCGAGTCACTATTGTAGAGCTAATTCTACTAGAATTTATGTCAAAGAGCCGCATGTATTCAATATACCAAGAATGGCTCCCTACAGCAAGACCGCCTTTTCATAATGGACCCCGGGACGCGGCTTTCATTTTTAATCGACACAAGGGCAGATAACTTATTTGAACAACGGCTGCAGCCGGATGACACACTATTGTATGCCGCCAACGGCACTCAAATTCGCACGTATGGTAAGCACTTGCTGTGTTTAAACCTAGGCCTTCGGAGACCTTTTAAATGGCAGTTTTTAATCGCAGAAGTAGCGCAACCTATAATTGGAACCGATTTTTTACGATCTCATGAGTGGTTACTCGATCTTAAAAACAAACGGCTGATGAATTCGACAACAAAATGCCATACAAGTGAATCCCTTCAAAAATGTGTACCCATCTCTATCTTGACAATAGCGACTACGTCCAAGTACCACGGCCTTTTAGCGAAATTTCCTTCTATTATTAGGAATACGGGAACACCTAATGAGCCCAAGCACGGTATTTTGCACGAAATCATTACCCAAGGTCCTCCGGTAACCGAACGACCGCGCCGCCTCCCCCCAAAAAATTGAAGACCGCCAAAGCAGAGTTTGAATTTAGGCTGGAGCAAGGCATTTGTCGTCCTTCCAGTAGTCCATCGGCAAGTCAACTACATTTCGTCCCAAAGAAAACTGGATAGTGGAGGCCCTGTGGGGATTACAGACAGCTCAATGCAGCTACCACACCAGATCGGTACCTGATAGCCCACATACAAGATTTATCTTACAAATTAGTCGGAAAGAAAGTGTTCAGCAAGTTCGACTTGTTGCGGGCCTATCACCAAATCCGGTAGCACCAAAGGACATACCCAAAACGGCCCCTACAACTCCGTTTGGTCTGTTTGAGTTCATATTTATTACGTTCGGGCTAAGAAATGATTTCGAGATTCGAGAACTACTTATTAGCAGCCGGGATCGACAATGAGGAATGGCAGAAGGCAATGTTGTTGCATTACGCAGGTAAGCAAGTGCATGATTTATTCCTAACACTCCCAGATATAACAGCAAATCCTACCGACACTCCAACTCCTTCAGCGTACCTTGTAGCTAAACAAATATTTTCACCCTAAAGTAAACAGAGAACTTGAAATATTTAATTTTCGGCAATGTGAACAAGAGGAAAACGAGGTTATTGATACATTCCACACAAGATTGTTAAAATTATCAAAAACCTGTAGTTTCACCAACACCAACAAAGAAATAAAATCACAAATAATCATAAAGACGAAGTTCACTCAACTTAGAAAACATGGTCTAACCGAACATTCAAGTCTAGACGATTTGTTAGCGAGAGGTCGAACGATCGAAGCAACAAGAAAACAATTAGCAGAGAATTATGGAGGAACATGGCACACAAACGGAAGACAAAGTTGCCCAGCATACCAGCTTAATTGCAGGTCTTGTGGGAAAATAGCGCATTTCGCAAAAGTTCAATCTTCCGACAGCGCAAGTAAAAATAAATGGTACATCGGTTGATTTCATCATTGACACGTGATCTATCAACTTAACCCTTTATTTGACAACGTAGCCTATGGCAACGTACACTTTCAAAATTTTTTCCTGGGCTCTGGACGTTTAATTTGCGGCAAAACCTGGCGATGTAGCCACATGGATACGTCTACTGTAACCTCATGCCATCTATATCTCGTCAGGACAACTTACACCATAGTTCTAGTAAAATGGCGGAACGTGGACGAGGGGCTTTCGCGCAAAACGGTAAATATCCTTGTATATCTTTGCAATCCGTAAATACTACTTAGAAATATTTTCGGAATTGTTTATACAGAAATTCAGTATCTTACTTTGAGTCATATTATCGGCGTACATGATCTCAGACGTGCGGTATAATCAGTTGAAGTTGTATATTGCCATATGGCTACACCACAGAAATCTTATACAAACTAGAACGCTAATAGGTATGGGATGCGCGAGAACAAAATGACACAATTTGAACGGTGAAAATTGACATTTGGTGCACTCCTGAGTTTGCGCATTGCGTGAGCTTACAGATCCGGTCTCTGAATTCGCCATTGTGATAGTTGTTATTTCGAGTTCTCAAGATTGAAATAGAGGTGTTAATACTACAGTGCAGTGGAATTAAATTTCGAAATTCTGTCTTTCTAACTCTAACATAATGAAATGTATGGTGTTGTTTTGTAACAATGCCGGAAACATTCCAGGAATCACTATTTCTCGTAAGTATTTTGGTGTATAGCATAAATAGGTATATTCAAGTGTCCCATATTTTCGCCAGCTCAAAATATCTGAAAATGAGGTGAAACCATGTCAGGGCGCGTTTGAAAGTGTGTAGGTTTAAATAACATGAATTTTGTGCACATTAAGGAAATTATTATTACTTTGAAACTTTATTGAAGTTTGCCTTGAAATTCTTATCATTTTTATATAAGGCCGGCTACACATTACATGGCAAACTAGGCGAATGCCAACCTTTGCGATGTGTACAAGTTTCGTTGCCAAATGAAAGCTTCCCAAGTGGTTCGTACACATTATATGCCGAAATTTATATATTTTACTATATATTATACATTATCGCAAATTATGCTGGCGATTGTCCTTTGAAGCGGGCCAGTTTACCGACTTCTAGGCGAACGTTCACAAACACCAACGTTGGCCATGTGTACACATTATATGGCAAACTCAACGAATCACCTACGTTCGTATAGTTTGCCATGTAATGGTGTAGCCGGCTTAAGGCGAGTCTATTTACACAACGAAATCAATGAAAGTAGTCGTGAACACAGTTTTACTTATTGAGACAATGTATGTCCGTCTAAGTGGTCTACTTGCGTGACTGCAACCTAGTTTTGACGGAATGGGTAAAATCGTATTCGGAACTGGTTTCATGGTTGAACGCGACTGGTCTCATGGGTTTCGAAATTAATAGACTAACCGCTTAAAGGCTCAAAAACCAGTATTGAAATGTAAACTTTCAATCCCCCCAATTTTAACACAGAAATGTATACCAAACACAGTTCCGTGAATTTCAATAAGCCAATGTCGGTTTGTAGCTCTTTTTTATGAATTTTGAACGATTGTATGAGGGCCTCTGTTGATCTTTGACTGCGAAAATAAGGAGCACCCTAATATCCATGGGATTATTTTAACAATTGTTTCTTTTAAAGACTCACTCCTAAAAGACATGATGCCTGGATGATAGCTTTAGGAAGGGATCCTACCGTTGAGCATCTTTCTAGGAGTAACCGAATATGTAGTGAACATTTTGTAGATGATGACAAGTTCATGGAGAACAATGAATGGAAATTGAAATATGGTGCTGTACCTATGCTCAAACTAGGTCGTCGTCCACTTATGCCAGTCGTAGAGAAGGTAGTAAGGTGAGATATTTTTTATAAAATTGTTAGTCAATATAGTTGTTTTTCACCTGTGTGGTTTTGTCACTGTCTTTCATGGACGGATGATACTAAGCATCTAGTGCTACTGAATTAATAAAAACTGTATTATTTCTGTGACTAATCCTTTTACCTTTGGTGAGTTCCGCTACTGAAATAATATACACTGTGTGCAAGAAGGTGAGCCACTATGCGTATTTTAGAAAAGGTAAAAGATATAAATTTAGTTAAATGGGACAAAAGTTGCGCAACGAAAGGTCTAAGAACATAGCGTTTTGGGGTGTTATACCTTTGGAAAATAATTAACAATAAATTAAATAACAATTAATAATTTTATTCATTAATTATGTTTTCTAATGCCGAAGAGCTTCACATGGTGGAATGTCTCATTTCATTCAACTCAAACCTTTATGTAATCGTAATTTTCTTCATTAAGGAGGAAAAAAGAAAGCTAAGCCGCAATGAAACCATAATGTGCTATACATCGTTGAATTCAGAATAAAAACGACTTTAATAATATTATATCGAAAATGAATCGGTATCCGTAGAGTTCTTCTGAAAATGGGGTTTTAAACTTCTTGAAGTAATAAATATTCAATATATCTACCCCATAACATTTAATTGTAGTTCACAATTAGTTTCGACTAAGTTTAGTCTTTTACTTTTAAAAACCCAAAGACCATACTGACACTAATTTAATTACAATTTAATTTAACTCTCACCTGAAGATGACTAAAGTAGTTATGGTGAAGGTATATTCAATATACAGGGTGTAATTTAAAAAACGCCGCAAGCTGTAGCGCCTACAGTTTTTGTCCGAATTTAATGCAACAAAAACTATATTTAATGGCTGCAAAAATGCTACAAAACGACCATAATTAAAATTTTTAAATTATTATTTTGGCGGGGCTACTAACAGTTGACGTAAATATTTTAAATGGCATGATTATGTTGTCTTAATTGAATTTGATAGAATTTGCCCCCTACATTCGATAATTAATATCAAAGTTAGCTTTGATTGGAATTTTTCACACAAAAAATTAATGAAGCTAATTTTTCAAAATTTTATAGCATGCCATGAAAACAGTTGTTTAATACCTGTCCTTACGCTATGTGGCAAGTGTACTGCGAGCACTTAATCGGACCTTTTTTTATTGACGGGACTCTCGATCAGCAAGAGTACCATGACATACTGAATGAAAATTTTTGGGATTTTTTGGAAGAATTAAGTGGCTTGTATTTTCAACAAGACGGGGCCGCACCAGATAACGCTCCACTAAATGTAAATTGGTTACACCATTTTATCATTTTCTTGCAAGGCAGATACGAGGGCAGATAGGTACTCACGGACCAGTGTGATGGCCGACACGTTCGCCCGACCTCACACCAATGGAGTTTTTTTCCTGGATCCGAGACTTTTGTGTAACAGTGGCAGACAATGTGGACCATATGAGACAGATAATAATTGATGCTTATCGTGAAATATCATCAAATGTTTTGTTAAATTCAGCTTGTATAGTAATTCTTTGGTGCCAGTTGTGTATGGAAAAAATGTTTGCCAATCTGAGCAATTTCTGTAAAATTAACAGCATTTTGGTTGTGGTTATTTATAGCATTTTTCTAGTAATAGAGACATACTGTTTGCTCACGATTTCTGTTCCAGTCGATTTCGTAAGGAGGATTGTTTCCATGGCATACTATAGAATTTTGAAAAATTAGCTTCGCCCGTTATTTTTCGTTTCCGTGTGTCTAATATACAAATTCAAAATTTCAACAAAATCCGTCGAGCCAACATCTAGGAAAATTGCCAACTTACATATATGCATATGGAGAGCAAAAGATGCTATTGGTTGAAGTTGTTTAAAAACCATCTAAAACGTCGGCTACCTCAAGCTCGGATGCTAAAAATTGGGCATGAAAAATGTCAGTTGAGTATCATCACTCATCAGATTCACTTTATTACTTTCAACAACTGTTAGTCCGATTCCAACACTAACAAGACTTTTTACCTTAGATTCTTGTAACACTCCACTTATTGTGTACATAATGGCACCGATTTCTTCCACTTTTGACGTTCTTTCCAATATATTGTAATTCAGTTCCAGCTCATCTACTACTGTTGCCCCAGAATCATCATTTGTATTACCAAAAATTTCTCAGTTGAAGAGGAAGGTGGGAAATGACTCTTCTTCTTCTGATAGTGAAGGATACAAAGGAAATATAAAAAGAGCTAGAAGAGATTTAAAACTCATTCATAACTACAGGTGAGTATTGAAATATTTAAGTCGCTGTGAATATTTTATTCCGGAAATAATCATGCAGAATATTCCGCATGCTTAAAAACAGCCTGATGAAATTTTGAAGTTTTTCGTGACATTGTTTTGCTAACAAGAAATACTTCTCGTAAATGTTTCACCCTACGCACGCGGGATTTTGTTACATGGCAAATTGACTTGACGTATTTCTAAGCAAAACATTTGACGAAAATTTCATAATTTGATTGGCAATTTTTATGCACTTGGGATATTACTGTTGATTATTCAATTCTTGAAGAAATGTCTGTCTATTAGTCCACGAGATGACCATTAATTATTGCGCATCATTTTATTTCAGTGCTTCTCCGAGACAACTTCTGCAAAAGTTTCGAAAATCTGAAAGTATCAAGAGGACCACTTACAAAAAAATGAGGGTTTCCCATAGACGTGTGCAACGCTTGTCAAAAAAAGTTTCCAGTCTGAAAGATATTTTGTGGCAACTAAAAAAGAAAAATTTCCTATCAGATGATGCGATCTCAGTACTACAGAAATCCTATTCGGGAGTTCCTCTTACTTTAATGAGGAGGGCAATTTCTAGCATTGACAAAAATAGGAAGGGGAAAAAACAAGGCAGAGATAAAATACCAGATGAAATTAGACGTTTTGCTATGACACTACAATTTTATTCGTCTAAAGCATATAATTATGTCCGAAATACATTTAATTTGGCCTTGCCGGCCCCATCTACCATCAGATCTTGGTTGAGCAATGTCAACTGCAATCCAGGGTTCTGCGAGACTTCCTTCAATAGTTTGGCTATGATCGTGGCTGAGAATAACAAGGACAATAAAGTCACTCTCTGTTCATTGATGCTGGATGAGATGGCTATCAAAAAACAAATTGAGCTTCGTGTAAATAGAACTTGGGGATATGAGGACTTTGGAGCTGGAATTACCAATGATACATTGCATTGTGCTACTGAAGCGCTTGTTTTGATGGTGGTTTCTGTGAATAGCAATTGGAAAATTCCAATAGCATATTTTTTTATTCGTTCCTTGAGTGGAGCTGAAAAGGCGAATATTGTTCAAGAAGCCATTATAAAGCTCCATGAGACTGGTGTTACTATTATATCAGTTACTCGTGATGGACCCAGTGCTCATTTCACAATGGCACACAAACTGGGAGCTAATATTAACATGACAAGTCTACAACCATACTTTAAGCACCCAATTACTAAATCAAATATTTTCATAATTTTTGATGCTTGTCATATGTTGAAATTAGTTCGAAATAACTGGGCAAGCTGTCAAACCTTTGTAGATGGTGATGGAGGACAAATTGAATTTAATTTCGTTACGAAATTATATAAAATTGAAGAGGATGAATTCTGCAGACTTGGAACAAAATTGAGAAGATCCCATCTTGAATGGCAAAAGCAGAAAATGAAGGTATGTTTCATCACGATATAAAGAAAATTATTACTGGTCTACCCATTATTTATTTTATTTTTAGGTGAATTTGGCGGCACAAACATTGAGTGCAAGTGTAGCAGATGCACTAGAATTTTTAATGATTGATGTTCAGCATCCAGACTTCCAACAAGCACGAGCCACAATTCACTTCATAAGAATTATCACAGCGGAACAAAAAAAAAATGTCTGCGGCACTAATTTTATTAATGAATTTTATAAACACTGGTATTTGATATACACTATATGCATTTAGTTTTTTTGGATTGATTCTGGTTCTTAGGATAAACGAAACGTAATAAATCAATGCAAAATTTACTACCCTTCTAAAGTTGTATTTATTTGAATATTTCCATCTAAGTTTGGTTATCTATTCATGGATTTAGTAGTAAATATTTCATTGATCAGCTATTAGACCGAAATTATCAGTTCGTCTTATTTGCATTGGAGTAAAAAGAATTGGCCTTTGCGCGAAAATATGGAGGTAGGAAAATCAAATGTGATTCATGAACCAATGCTAAACCGAAAAATTATCCTTTTTCCACCACTTCACATCAAGCTCGGGCTAATGAAACAGTTCATCAAAGCCCTTGATAAGACGGGTGACTGTTTTAAGTATGTGTGTAAAACATTTCCAGCTCTAAGTATGTAAAAGTTGAAAGCGGGCATCTTCGATGGACCCCAAATCCGAACACTTATAAAAGATACTGAATTCGTGAACTATATGACACAAATTGAATCTGAGGCATGGTTAAGCTTTGTTTTAGTAATCAAAAATTTCTTAGGGAATCATAAAGCTCCAGACTATGCAAAACTAGTCACTAAAATGCTTCAAAATTTTAACAAATTAGGAGCTAATATGAGCATTAAAGTGCACTTTTTGCATTGTCATTTAGATAGATTCCCGGATAATGTGGGCGATTAAAACGAGGAACAAGGAGAACGGTTCCACTAGGACATTAGGGTCATGGAAGAAAGATACCAAGGTCGATGGGACCGCCACATGATGGCAGACTACTGCTGGACCTTAGTAAGGGATTGTCTTGATCAGAACCATGGCAGAAAAGCCTACAGAAAAAGTTTTTTGTGATTTTTTTGAACTTTCGTCAGTGAACTGCATAGATATATTTGTTTTTGTTTCATTCCTAAAGATCAACTTAATAAAAGTATTTTTTCAGTGCAAATTGGTATTTTTACTAAAATTTTTGATTTAAATAGTTAATAGTTTTTATCTCAAAAACTGGAGCCAATTTTACAAATCTGATATTTTTCCAGTATTCAGCACACTAGTCTGATACAAAATTGACTTCGATCTGCCATGCCGCAAAATTACTGTTCCCCAGTGTTATTGATCGACTGTTCGATGTCTTAAATTCGAGGAACCCTTTTGGGCGAGGATATAAGTCTCCACTGAGACCGATGAATGAAAACTTCTGGAGACCATTTCTTGAGGAAGTTTTAACTTACTTGAAGGAATTGAAAATGATGACTGGAGAATTAATATGGAAAACAAGATCTAAAACTCCCGTTATTGGTTTGTCGATAACAATAAAATCGATCTTAGGAATCTACGAAAAATATGTTAGTACTAATGAATCTCCCCTTAAATACGTGTTAACATATAAATTCAGTCAAGATCATTTGGAGCTGTTCTTCTGCTGTATAAGGTGAGACCACGAATTCTATTTTGTGTATCTTAATCATAACTTAATTTCAGGGGGAAAAGTGGCTGGAATAACAATCCCACAGCATATCAATTTTATTATACATTTAAGAGATTAGCATTAAGGCATGATATTAATAATTTAAAAGGAAATTGTGTGGTTCTTGACAATACATATATACTAACAACCACCAAAAAGAAAAAACAGAAGACATATCCTGAGATAAGTTTAGATGATATTAGCATCATAAAAAAATATAATATTGACATTAATGAAATGATAATAGATGATCATGATTTCCAAATAATAATTCCATCTCTACCAGTATTATCAGACTTAACAGAAAACGTCGTAACACATATCTCAGGATTTGTCGTCAAATCTGTAAAAAAAACTATAACATGTATAACATGTTTGGCAGAAATCGAGGCTATCCATGGTTGTATTGATGGAGAACATTTCAAACTCCTCCATAGAAAGGATAGAGGTGGTCTTATCAAACCATCTAAAAGTGTAGTTAACGTGTGCTTTTTTGTGGAACAGAAAATTCGACATGTTCTGCACATAACAGAAAACTGTATGCCAGAGGAAAAAAACTTCCTTGATACTTTCGTTCAAAACATTTCTTTAATATTGTTTCAAAATTTCAAAATATTTGATACATTACTGGACCATACTTTTGATATTTCCCCATATGAAGATAACCACCGCATGAAACTAATCAAAATGATCATTAAAATATACTCAAAAATAAGATTTTACAACATTGCAAAAAAACAAACAGAAAGGATCAGAGGAGAGTTGAAAAGGAAAGAACTTTCAAAACTTATTTTATTCCACCATCAATAACAATATTTTTAATGTGTTCATTATGTATTATGGCTAGATAAGTTAACTAGATATTTTAGAAATACATCTGTAGTTGTCAATCATATTATGTGGATTTTATATCGTTTATTAAATTATCTCCTTTAAGGGGTTGTTACAGTCGTACTGCTTTGTATATATCGCGGCCATAAATAGGCTTTATTTGGACTCGTCCGTAAAGACCCAGTTTATGTACTTGATTAGCTATTATCCAACCAAGCCACATTTCAATAAAATCTTGTATTTAATTCGGATATTAAAATAGTAATAAACTCTGATGTTGCATTGTTGTTACTTATGATTATCTTAATATCCTTATAAAATAAAGAGCGAATAAAATATCATAGAGTCTTGTTGCAATAAATACTGTGTCATCAAATTATTCCTTAATGTCGATGTAAAAGAATACCCAAAATTCCTCACTTCGTTATCTGGCCCTCGATATGTAGCTACTTCCAAATATTTTCGAGCCGGCCCTGGCTATTTTTAAATTTGGCGGCTCCGTTTTGTCTTACTGCGCAAACTCAGTAGTGCACCTGTGCGAATTCAATTTGGGTCAATTTCTTTACATTGCATTAGCATTCCATTTTTTTTAGTTCAGTGGGCTACACCGCTAAGAGGACTGGCATTTACTGCTCTGTTTGTATGTTCCCATATGGTTAGGCCAGGCACTTGTCTGTGTAGCTCGTGTGTTTCCGTATGGCTACATGGCCAAGTATAGTGTATATAGTGAAAGGGTGTTACTTGACGCAAAATTCTCTCATTCAGTGTTATGGAGGCTACCCATCACGAGCAGAGCAAATGATAAAAATGGTTCTAGCTGGTTTGCCACCAAATCCAGCTCTGTCCGAAGATGAGGAATTGTTTAGTGGTGACGATGAAGATTTGTGTATCAAGTCACCTGATTCAGACATATCTGTATCAGAGGATTCTGGTGATGATTCAGTAATCAGAAGCGGAAGAAGTTGTTGCACACCTCAATTTATTGTGTGAAGAAGACACACGTCCGTCTGTTGCAAACGCTGTGGCTAACATCGCTCCGCATATGTTGAACGACCTTCAGTAACAATACCTAAGCTTAGAGGAGTAGCTCCATCTGAGAAAGTTCGTTCCGCTGAAAATCAAAAAATGTCCTCACGCAGTCCCATAACTAGGAGTGCCACAAAAAAGAGAAAAGTTATTCACAACACAACAAAGAAGACTACGCCGAAGTGTATGAAGAAAAAGAAGCGACGGGTTTACAAATTCAAAGAAGATAAATTTTCTACTCCTGCAATAATTATGTCAGATGTAGACTATTTTGAGAGATTTTTTTCTGGTGATCTTCTCGATTTGATTGTTGATGCGGCTAATCAATATTCAGTGCAACTAAGTGGTAAATCAATAAAAACGAATGTCAACAAAATCAAAGACTTTCTGGCCATTGAACTTTACTTTGGTTTGGTAAAATTTCCAGCGTACACGGATGCCTGGAGTGCGGGTCTTCGTTATGACAGAGTGGAACAAATAATGCCACTCAAACGTTACCAAATATTGAGAAGGTATATCCACTTCGTTGATAACAATCAAGTGGACGACGATCTTTTTTTTAAGATCAGACCAGTAGTAAACAAAATAAAACGTAATTGCATCTCGGTGAAAATTGAAAGAAAGCAGTCTGTAGATGAAATGATGGCCCCTTACAAAGGAAAAAAGGCTGGGAAAAAGAAATAGTACCTAAAAATGAAGCCGAAAAAATGGGGGATTAAAATATTTGTGAGAGCGGGTGTTTCGGGATTTGTCTATGATTTCCTGCTTTATGGAGGGTCATCAACTTTTCATAATATTCAATTTACTGAAGAAGAGGAAGATCTTGGATTTGGACCGAAGGTTGCCATCGCACTTTGTCAAACGATACCGGAGAAGGCACTCACTGCGGTGTATTTTGACAACTATTTTACATCTTTGGACCTCCTCTTCCATTTGAGAAACGAATACGGAATCCTGGGGCTGGGGACTATCAGAAAGGAAAGACTTCGCGGTTGTCAAATGGACTGTGCAAAAAGCAAAACGAGGTACAAGTTGCGAAAAGGCGGACGATTCTAGAAAAGTTACTATTGTACGATGGGTCGACAACAAAGAAGTCCTTTTGGCCTCAAATTTTGTTGGTCGTTTGCTAGAGGCCACGGTGAAGCGTTTCTCCAAGCAGGAAGGAAAGAGGAGATTGAAGTGCCATGTCGAAGAATAGTAAAGGAATACAATCGCCATATGGGAGGCGTGGACTTATGTGACATGCTTATCGCTCTGTACCGAACCGCCTTCAGAACGAAGAGATGGTACATGGTAATTTTTTCACAACTTTTAGACATTTGTGTAAACAACGCGTGGAGACTGAAACAACGGGATAGTGTTCTTTTGGGAGAGCCCTACAAGAAAAAAGTGAAAGAATTTCGACTGTCGCTGGCAGAAAGTCTTCATAAGAAGAACAAAGCTCCAAGAGCCCTGACGCCATCTGGAGTAAGGACCATAATTAAACCAAGCATCCCAAGACCTCATGAAGACGTTATGTTTGACGGCTACGAGCATTTTCTCCGTGCTTGTCAGAAAAAAGCTGCAAAACCGGTTTTCACGAATCGAATGTGTCGAATGCAAAATGGTTCTGTGTTTAGTTCAGAATAGGAACTGTTTTTATGATTTCCATCACAAATAATGTGTAAGAAGTAGCTTTGACGATGTCTTCGATTTCGTGATGATCCGTGATCGGTTGGGTTCCCCCCATACGTGCTGATAGCCGCCGACGAGTGACGACACCGGATATAGAAGAATAGAATACCCGTTACCAACTTCAGAGAGAGAGAGAGAGAGTGTGTGGTGTGTGTTTCGCTTACGTCTTACAGTGATTTTGGTGGTATAGTTTTGCGCTGTAAGTACCTACATACAATACAATAAAAGAGTTTTATGTGTTCAGAGATGTCTGTGTTTGTATTGTTTTAATTCCTTATTACTTGCTTGTTGTGCCTAACCAAATTTGTGTGTATTAGTCCTACATGGTAGCAGAGCGTGGTTTCGAGGTTAGGCACGCCACGGAAAGTAGTTTTGAGTAATAAGGATTTAAGAGTAGCGTGGTTTGGGCGGCGAGTGAGAGTTGCTGTATCGACACATTCCAGAGACGATTTTAGAGTTCGTTTAAAAATTGCAAGTAGAATCAAGTTTTTGTTGTGGTACAAAAGACTGGCGGTTTTCGTGGAAATCTTGTAGCACCTTGTGCGCAAGTGAGCCGCGGTTATTCCCGTACGTTTTTGTTTGCGCGGTTGCATTAATTGGAGAGCGTTTAAATTTTGAGAAATTACAATATCTATAATGAAATTTTTTTTACAATTAAATAGAAAGCGCAATTCGTATTTAAAGAGTATATAACAGAGGTTGGAAATTAACAAGTGTGCATAGTTGTGGTTGACAAAGTTTTTTTTGTCATTTCCGTTTTAGAAGACGAAATATAAAGGAAAATAAAAGTTTTTGTTTGCGAGAAGAAAAATAAGAGATGTAGTAATGAAGTTTAAAGAAGGATTCTAGAAGATGAGATTGAGAGTTGTAATTCAGTCAATCTTAGCTCTATACAATTAGCCGATTTTTTCTGTTCGGAATATTTTGTTTCTCTTGAGTTTGGGGTCCTGTTCTGACCTGCCTTGCGGTCAGGTTCCGGATTACTGGCTTTTGAGGATTGTTTCTTTTCAGTGCAGATTCGGAGGCTTACTTACATTTTTTGTATGAGCAAGTTTATCATGTTCTGGGGCCAATGGTCAGACGAAACTGTGTTCGATGTAGTTTGATCATTGACTAGGGAAATCAGTAGGACCTCATTCGTGCTCCACGTGTGTGCTTGCGCAACCCAAAACCGTCTGGCTTTCGCATTAATACGCGGGGCCAACTCTCGGCGAGTGGTGTGCATACGAGGATTGCGCGTTGGGTGAATCTGATTTCTTGTTTCGGATTAAGGCAATCTGTGGTTCGGTTGCTTTGATTCAGAAGCACGAAACATTACTTGACTGGTTGATAGAGAGATTACCTGGTATTGCAGAGTATAGGAAGAGGATAGTTAAGAGTTGAGGTTTTTTTATGTAAATTTTGAGTTGTGAGTGTTCGTCTGTAAAATCGATCATACATTTTTTATATATATCTAATATTGAAAGAAAAACTAACTAAGAATGTTTCAGAATCCCAGAACAGATGGCCGGTTCGAATGTTCAGAGTTACATCGACGAGTTTAATGAAGAATATGCAGAGTACATGAGAGTTAGGACTGGAGCAGAAGATTCTGATTTCAACAATCAAAGTAAGAATATTTTGTTTACATACTAGCCATCTATAAATTTGACTGAAAATTAAGTGTGCTGAGGCTCATTAAAGAGCTCAAAAGTTTAGGTCGTGCTAGGATTTGAAACTTTTGGAGTGAGAGGAAATGAGTTCAGTACTGAAATTTCTGTAACATGTTTTAAATCCAGGTAATACTTGAGTGTTTTATTTCTCAGAGACAACCACAACTCCTGCGACCATGAATCAAAATTCTCAGGGCCGCAGGGAGATTGGAGATTCATCTAGTGCTCATTTAAGTATAGAAACCTTGCAAAAGCTTATTTCCAATGTGAATTTTTTGGCCTCGTTAAATGAGGCATCCAGAGATAAGGCGACTGGAGCCCTATTAAAAGAAACGGTCGATAAGCTGTGCCTAGTACATTCAAAAATGTTGGAGTCTGAAAAACTCAAACTCCAAACTACAGTGTACCTCTGTCCAAAGTAATTACAATGAGTATTATTCTTATTTACCAAATGTTTAGACTTCCCAAAGTCGTCACATTTATCATTGACACTTACGAGCTCTTCTTCTTTCAATGGAAAGCCAAAGTCTTCTGATGTCGAGTGTGGCAGATTCGTCTTTAGGTTGTTGGTCACAAATTCTTTCTGCTCCTGGCGTAATAAAACGACTTCTTTTTTCATTTCCTTAATTTCGAATTTGATCTGCCCTAGTCATATCTTTTAAAACAATTTAAAAAAATTCTAGAAAAATAATAATTGTGTGTGCACGAACATTCGGAAATAATTCTAAAAAAATTATAGGAAATTCTAAAAAAATTGTAATTATACAACTTTAGCAGATTCTAGAATATTCTAAACAATTCTCGAAAAAATTCAAAAAATTCTACAAAATGTTAGTAGTGACTGTACACCAAAATTTGACAACTCGCGTTAAAATGCGACATTAAAAATGAACAAAGAATGAAAAAAATCGTTAAGAGCGCGCTGCCAGAGTGGTGGGGAAGCTTATTGCCTTTAGTTTAGATTGTTACCATTTCAAAATCAGACGGATAACGGCAGATGGCGTTAATGTTGTCTGAAAGCATTGTTAAGTATCTTGTTTTTATCTCCAAAATTCGCCGCGTCCTTCGGAGACTTTCGCTATATTTACAAGTCACGTACATTTTAGTAGTCATACAGGGGTCCCTAAAAGGTCTGTACAACGCGCTACCAGGGGTTCTTGGTATCAAAATAGGACGATTTAACCCAACTTACCTC